GATCCCGCGCCAGGCCGGGGTTGGGGCCGCTGCGGCGGCGCGAACCGGCCGTGTTTGAGTTGGAGCTGGAGCTGTTTTAACAGCTGCTGGGCCCGGCGGAGCAGCGTTAACCCCTGGGAGCAGCTCTGTGTGCTGGGGCTGGAGCATCCCAGGCCAGGGTGGCACCTCCTGGCCCAGCCTCTGCCGGGGTTTATCACTCCGGGAAAACGTTCTTCCCAGCGAACGGGGATGTTGGAGAAGCCGCGGTTTGACGTTAGAGCTCCCGAATAACGTGGTTTGAGCTGATGGGGGGAAGTTGTTACGGGTTAAATTCCCTGAATGAGATGTGAGGATGAAGAAAGGAACCTGACTCCTTGGTTCTGGGGTGGGGAAGGACCTGGAGGGTGCTGAGATCAGAGCAGGCGCCCGCCAGCCCCTGCTGTTGGCCAAACCCTCTCCCCTGGGCTGGTGGGTGTTGGTAGAGGTTTCTTCTGGAGGAACTCTGCCTCTGAAAAGCTTGGTCCTGTGGTGGGAAAGGGGCCAAAGTGTCCCGAGGGAGCAGGGCCATGTCCCTGTGCTGCTGAGTGCAGAGCTTGCACAAAGGTGCTTTTGTTGCCTCTTTCGCGTGTTCCTGATTCCTCCTGTGTGGCCAGGAGAGGATGCGGGGAAGGGGCTGAGGAGGAGATGGACAAGAGGGGGGATGCAGGGAAGGGGCTGGTGAGGGGATGCACGTTACTGCTGGAGGCTGCTGGGTACTGACTGTTGCTTTTTCTTCTTTTTGTTATTTTTTTCAGACAGAAATTGCTAAAAGACTGAATACAATTTTAGCCCAGATCATGCCTTTTCTGTCACAAGAGGTAAGGATGTCTTCACACCCCAGGTGGGAGATGCTGCTTCTCCTGAGGGGTAGTTCCCAGAAAGGCAGAGCTGTGTCTTGTGGGGGCGTCTTGGGAGGGGGTAGAGACCTGCTCCCACCAAACCCATATTTAGGGTGTGAGGTTGCTCTGGGGTGTCCTGTGGGACACGGGGTGCAGATCCTGCATGCGCATTGGAAAACCCTGGGATGGGGGAGAAGCAGACCCCACGAGGGGCTTTGCTTGGTCTGCATCGAGCCTGTGGAGTGAAGAAGGCTGTGAGGGGCTGCCTGTGGTCTGTGGAGCACGGAGATGTGCCCAGGCTGCTGCTCTCCTGAGCAAAATGCAGACCAAAAAAGGGGGTGACCAGCTCTGGGAGAGGGGGGTGATGTGATGGCTTAGTGCCCCGTGCCCAGCTCTGACCTGGCTGTGTCCCCACAGCACCAACAGCAAGTGGCACAGGCTGTTGAGCGTGCCAAGCAAGTGACAATGACGGAGTTGAATGCTATCATCGGGGTACGTGGACTTCCCAATCTGCCTCTCACCGTGTGTATATCCCTTTTATTCCTATCATTTACCATAACCAGAGGCAATCCTGTGCTCAGCCAGGCTTAAAGGAGGGCGGCTCATGGCACCCTGGTTGTCCTGTGACCCCCAAAACTTCTAAAATCTCCCCCAAACCACCAAACCTTCCCCAAATCTGTCTCTGAGGGAGGCAGGGAGGTGGCAGCCACTGCTTGGGCAGCCCAGTCTCCCTTCCCCGGTTGCTAGTGCAGCACCAGGAGCCTCCACCAGCCAAACTGGATGTTCTCCCTGGGAGTGGGGAGCATTTGGGAGCAGGGCCGGGTGCCCAGCAGCCCCCCTGCAGCCCCTGAGCCCAGGCTTGTCTCTGCGTGTGCTGTTGATGTGAAATGTGCTGTAAACTTGACAGAGTTGTTGTTCCATGCATTGACTTACCCGCTCCTGTCTTACCGGGCTCTCTCTCTTCTCTCTCTCTTCTCTCTCTTTCTCTTGCAGATCTCGGGTGTTTTTTTTAAGACTAATGATTCTTATTGTCTCTTTACTTGATGTAAGGGTCTCAGTCCTGCAGCAAACCTGCCCTCTGTTGGGGCTCCTTTAGCCCAGGGACGTGCTTGTACCCAACCAGCATCCTGGGGAGGTGGCTCTGGGTTTCAGTGCTTGTTTTCCAGAAAATACTGTTTTATAATATTTATTTTTTTAGTAACTGCTTGCTCTTCTCTCCTAAACTAGAAGGATCTTTGTGATTCTCTGTGTTTAACTTGCTCTTCTCTACATTTTCTGGGTTTTGTGGGTAGCCCTGAGTGTAGAATTGTGCTCTGGGCTCTTTGTGGTGGGGCTTGTGTGGCAGTGGAAGGGATCTGGGCATGGGACAGTCTGTCGTGGGGTCTGTGCTGGGGTGGCAGGCAGCATCATGTGTCTGCCTGCCCTCCTGCCTGCACCTTGCACCTCCCCTGCAGGCTGGGATGAGAGCTGGTGCATCCATAGCAGAGAGAGGGAGTGAGGGAGATGCTTGGCTCTGCTGAGCTGCTTTAAGTCACAGCCAGGAGCCCAGGCAGCTGGAGGCAGATATTGGAATTCAATTAAGGTAAATGAGCAGGGCCCGTGACCCCCATTTTCAAGGTAATTGCTTCCTGGGATCAGAGCGAGTGTCGTCCCATCATTAAGCAGCCAGCCGCTTCATCGCTTTGCCTGATGGACTTGCAGGAGCCCTGGGTGGCTGGGGGAACATGGGGAGGATCTGGATGGATACTGGGATGGGATGGGAGCAGGGAGCATCTCCAGCTGTGCCTATGAATGGGGGGACCTGGGGTGGCTGCTGGGCAGGGGCTGGCAAGCAGTGCCCTGTGCTTTGGTGGCTCGAAGAGAAGGGCAGAGCTCATCCCAGGTGTGCTCCAGGTGGATGTGGAGCTGCTTTGGGTCACAGGTTCCTGCTGCTGGGGGTTGGCTGCACCTTCCCCACTGCCCCCCCAAGACCTGAAACCGAGAGGGGTTTGGGGCTGGGCTTGTTCTCAGCAGGCAGAATTCCTTCCCTTTCTGCAAGGGTTGGTTTGTTATTGCCGGGTTGCTGGGGTGGGGCAGGTCACCTGTGTGTGTGTTTGTTCCTCTCACGCTGGGGCGTGACGCCGTCCTACCCACCGTGTCCCACGGGATTGGGCCACCAACACTGTCCCCTGCCAGGCCTTGCAGCGAGAGGCAGTCACTCTGTTTACAGACCACACCAGCATCTTGGCGCAGGTGCTGCAGAGCAAATCGCCACACACACAAAACCACACCAGATCATTAGAACTTTTCCCTTTTTTGCCCCTTTTGAGGTCAAGAACTGTTAATTTTATGCATCTAGGCCATTGTCTCACAGTTCCTCTGCTTCAGGCTTCTGTGAAATTGAGCCCTTGATTTGGTTATAGCTCTGGAAATGATTAGACTACTTTACTAAATTTAACGCAAGTGGTGAACTTAAGTGGTGAACCATTAAATCGGTTAACAAAGGCATGAAGCATGATGTACATAATCCAATTAAAAACACTCTACATAGGAGATATTCCTTGCCAGCCTTTCTCGTAAATCATAACCTCCTCATATCTTCACCATATTTGTCTGGCACATGCTGAGGGGACTCCAGAAGGAAAACATCTCTTGTGTCTGTGCGTCTCCCAGCCGGCTCCTCCTGCCTGGCCTGGACCTGGGGACTGGGCAGTGCTGGTGTCCCCACTGTTACCCAGGGTTGGCTGTGGCCTCTGCAGGAGCATCAGTCCAGTCTGGGGTCCTGACAAGCTCCAGTGCAGCATCCTGAGGGGTTCTGAGCACAGTTTACACTGGGAAGCATCCCTGGCCCTGGAAAGCTGCCCCTGGTCCTTGCAGGGCTTTGCTGGGCAGGACCCTCATGCTGCTCGGAGCTGAGCACCCCACCTTGTCCCACACCACTGGCTGAGGCATGGGACATTCACTGGGTGCAGGTGTTGGGGTGGTTTTGGGTGGGTGCAGTGCAGCCTGCCCTCCCCCAGGTGGTTTGCAACAACCCAACCTTTTCCAGGGGCAGGGGGGAAGGTGGGATTTCCAGCAGAGAAGACATCAAGTGAGCAGCATCCCTGAGCTTGGCCACATCCCTCTGTGCCACGGAGCCCTGGGTGGGTTTTACCCCCTCTGTGGAGTCTCTGGGGTGTGATTCCTGAGTGCCACGCAGGATGGGTGCACGTGGAATGCTCCTTGGACTGATGTGCACCAACAGTGATGCAGCCGTGGGGAGCTGGAGCAGAGCCTGGGGATCCTGTGGCACCAACACCCTCTGTGCTGGATTCCTGATCTTCTCCTTACCATGAGAAGTGACCTGGCTGGGACAGTGGTCCTTCCTGTGGTGCTGGGATGAAGCCTGCAGCCCCGAGGGATGATCTTCTCTACTCCTTGTAGCCGTGGGCAGCCCAGCCCCAACGCTGGACAGAGGGACAAGGCTTCAGATGAGACCTGCTTGGTGAGGAGACCCTCCAGATGGATTCTATTCAGCAGTTCCTGCCTGCCAAAGGGGAGAAAACCACCTTTAAACATTACCTTGGGTCACAGTGGGATGTTGTATCTTGACATTTGTTTCTACCTGTGTGCACTGGAGCTGGGCTGCTGAAGGGGGGCTGGGACCCCATGGGTCAGCCCTGCAGCTCCCCGAGCCCTTGGATGGATGTATTTGCTGTCAGCTTTAAAAAACAGGAAGAAACAAGCTGTTTTCTGCTTTGCTGGAGGGTGAGGCTCAGGGTGGTCATTCTCTGTGCCTTCCCCACCCAGCCCCAGCCGGGTGCTGCCATGTTTGCTCATGGTGGAGCTACTTTGGCCCCTTGGCTGTGCCAAGGGTGGGACCCCCGTGGACATCACTGGGCTGGAATGTTGCTGCGTGGACCCCAGCGTGAGACCGTGTCCCACTTCTCTGGGATTCCTGCAGCTGTGGAGGGTGTAATCTAGGCTGGAAAGCTCCTGGGAGGAGCATTGTGCTGCACCAGTATCTCTGCCCAGCATGGAAGTTGTATCAAAGATTGGATCTCTGCACATGGCAGCCCTGCAGGGGTGGGCACTGCTGGAAAGCCTGCGGGAGAGGAGTGCGTGGTGCTGGGAAACCGTCAGGGGCTGTTCCCAGGGCGTTGCTCTGATGTAACAGCCAACCCTGCCTCTCCCTTAAATGGATGGAAATCACACAAGATGGGGACTGCAAGGAGCCTGTTGGATTTCCTCAGGAGCTGAGGCTCTGTTACTCTTGTTTTGGTTTTGGCACAGGGGGTGGCAGTGGCCACGCTCTGCACCAGCGTGGTCGTGGAACCATGGGCTGGGCCTTTGGGGCTGGAGACCCCCTCAGCTGCTCTCTGCACCCCATCCTTGCACCTCTGCTGGTCTGAGGATCCCTCCTTGACTGGAGCCTCTGCGGATGCCCCCTCTGCTCTGCCCTGATGATGGAGCAGCCCAGCAGAAGCCAAAAAGCTCCTTCCAAGGACGTGGTGATTGATAATGGTGCTGCTGAAGTCTAATGGCCTCCTGTGCTTGGCTTCTGCCCCAGCCCAGGACAGTGTGCTGCCTGGAAGAAGCTGCCTTGGGAGATAATGGATCTCCTCTTCCTGGAGCTGCAGCTCCTGCCTTTCCCGACTGATCCCAGCTGGGGATTTCCCTCTCCCCAGAGCCTGGCAGCTGTGGGTTGCCCACCCTGGGCTCAGCCACCCCCTTTCCCTGCACCCAGCCCTGCCCTGAGGGTCCTGCTGTGCCCATCAGCCTGGGACAGTGAGTTGTCCCTCCCCGAAATGGGTCTTTTGGTGGGGAGAGGAGTGGGACTGGAGCTTCCCCTGAAGATACGGCCTTGGTGTGGGGCTTTTTCAGAAAAGCTGCATCCTGGCTCCTGCAGCTGGTCTGGGGGGCTGCAGGGTGTACCAAGGGGTGTGTGGGGTGCACCGGGGGCTGCAGGGAGTGTGCAGGGTGTACCAAGGGGTGTGTGGGGTGCACTGAGGGCTGCAGGGAGTGTGCAGGGTGTACCAAGGGGTGTGTGGGGTGCACTGAGGGCTGCAGGGAGTGTGCAGGGTGTACCAAGGGGTGTGTGGAGTGCACTGAGGGCTGCAGAGTGCAGGGGGTGTGCAGGATGTGCACCGGGGGTGTGCAGGATGTGCACCAAGGGTGTGTGGGGTGCACCATGGGGCTGCAGAGTGCAGGGGGTGCACTGGGGGGCTGCAGAGAGTGTGCAGGGTGCAGGATGTGCATCCAGGGGTGTGCAGGGTGTACAGCCTGCCCCCCAGTGTCTCTAGGGGTGCAGCAGAGCCTCTTGCTGCACTGTGGGTGCAGGGGGGGCTGCAGGTACAGGAGGGGCTACAGGCTGGAGGGCCTTGCGAGGGGGTGGCAGGAGCACTTCTGGAACCACCCCCCCTATATGTTGGGGTGGTGCTGTGCCCTGGGCACAGCCAGGTGCAGGATCCCTCAGGTTAACCCCCTTCTGCTTCCCCAGAGTGTGGTGGGCCATGGGCTGCCCTGTTGGGCTGAACTGGGGTGTCATACCCACCCCATCGGGCTGTATTGGGGTCACCCCAGTGCTGCAGAGCATGAGCCAGTTTGGGGGTACCCAGGTGTGTCCCCTGGCAGTGCTGGGCAAGATTTGCTCAAATTTCTTTGATGGAAACATAGGGGTCCCCCATACCTGAGAGGAACCTTGGTGTATTCCCAGTGTGGATTGAGCAGGGCTGTCTGTGACAGCAGCAGCCCCTTGCTCCCTGGCTGTGAGGGTGCAGGGCTGGGGCTGAACCCCTCTGGCCCTGCAGGAAAGAACCCTCTCCTGCTTTGTGTCTGTCCCTGGGCACGGTGTGAGGCTGTGTCTGCTCCCAGGGCCATGGGATCCAGCTCCATGCACAGCCCACAGCAGCAGCCCCTTGCTCCCTGGCTGCCAGGGTGCAGGGCTGGGGCTGAACCCCTCTGGGCCCTGCAGGAAGAACCCTCTCCTGCTTTGTGTCTGTCCCTGGGCACGGTGTGAGGCTGTGTCTGCTCCCAGGGCCATGGGATCCAGCTCCATGCACAGCCCAGCTTGCAAGGGAGCTGCCTGCTCTGATGATAGACTCTGCCAGGGGGAGAAACCCCATCCCAGCTGGTTGTGGGGACCCAGGGGAGGTATGGGGAACTCCTCTGCAGCTGTGATGCCTGCTGCAGGTCTATTGCCCAAACGCAGCTTTCACCAGCAGACAACAGGGTGCTGCCCAGGGGGGTGCAGGCAGGAGGGTTGAAAATGTGAGCACCAGCTGCAAGACCCTCCTGGCTGGATCACTGGTGTCCTTGGGGTGGAGGAACTGCTGGAGTGGTGGCCGGGGGGGGTCTTGGGAGTGACATTCTCTTCTGAGGTGACTTGGGAGGGTCCCAGATGCTCAAGGTTTATCTCTCTGGTCTGGTTTAGCCCTTGGCCCTCCAGCCAGAGCTGCTTTCTGCATCCATTTATTTTTTTTGGTGACTATCTGCTGAAAAGCAGAGCCAGCCGAGCCTGCAGCCCTGCTGGGAGTGACCTCTAGTTCAGGATAACTCCTGCAGTCCAGCCTGGGCTGTGTGTTACCTGCACACGCTCGTGCCACCTGCCCCTGTCACCCTCTGTCCCTCTTGCTAACAGGGCTTCTCCTTCCAGGCAGACCCCCAGGGCATCCCCTCGCTGCCCTCCCGGGATGTCACCGGGCACGTCCCTTCCCGGCACTTGCTCCTGCCTCCAGGCTCGATGCCTCAAATCCCCCCCAAGGTGTCCCACTGCCCCCTCCCCGGCTCACTGGTGGTTTCCTTGCAGCAGCAGCAGCTCCAGGCCCAGCCCCTCTCCCACGCCGCCCACGGGCCCCCGGTGCAGCTGCCGCCGCATCCCTCGGGGCTCCAGCCTCCCGGCCTCCCGCCGGTCACCGGCAGCAGCTCGGGGCTGCTGGCCCTCGGCGCCCTGGGCAGCCAGGCACACCCCGCTGTCAAAGATGAGAAGAACCATCATGACCTGGACCACAGAGGTGAGAGCGAGGGGCCAGGGTGACGCCGTCCCTGGCATCGCCGCGTCCCCCGGCGCGGGAACTGCTCTGGTCCGGGCGCGGCTCTGCTCCTCCTGCCCTGGGACAGGGGCCTTCCAGGGATGGGTTTCTGTTCTGAGGGATGTGGCTTTCCCTAAGGGATGCTGGAACCTCTTGGCTCAGCTGGGGTGGCTGAGGGAGGTGCTGCTCTCGTGGGGCATTTCCAGCAGCAGCTTCCAGGCGATCCCAAAGCTTTCCCTGCTTTTCTCGTTGGCTGGGGTCAGGATGCTCCTTGGGAGCAGCTCCTGGTCTGTGGGCTTTGTGGGAGGTGATATGGGGACCTGCCTCCAGGCTTTCTTTGCTCTCTTAGTCCAGGGAATGCAAATTGCCCTGAGAAGTGACCCTGGCAGGTTGAGCTCTGGAGTTTAGCTGCTCGTGTGTCCCAGAGTTCCAGACTGTAAATCACAATCATAGAATGGTTTGGGTGGGAAGGGACCTTAAATAGCATCCCATCCCACCCCCTGCATGGGCAGGGACACCTCCCAGCAGCCCAGGCTGCTCCAAGCCCCATCCAACCTGCCCTTCAACACTGCCAGGGATGGGGCAGCCACAGCTTCTTTGGGCATCCTGTGCCAGGGTCTCACCTCCCTCACAGCAAAGAATTTCTTCCTCATGTCTCACCTAAATCTCCCTCTTCCAGTTTTAGTCCATTCCCCCTTGTCCTCTCACCACAAGCCCTTGTCCCAAGCCCCTCCCCAGCTTTCCTGGAGCCCCTTCAGGCACTGGAAGCTGCTCTCAGGTCTCCCTGGAGCCTCCTCTTCTCCAGGCTGAACACCCTAGCTCTCCCAGCCTGGCTCCATAGGAGAGGTGCTGCAGCCCTCGAATCCCACATCCCCATTCAGCCCTGCTGTGATGCTGAGGCAGCAGCCTTCCTCCTCCTCTCCATCACTGTCAGAGATTTTTTCAGTAGTCTGGAAACCAGCAACGTCCACTACCAAACTTGCTGTATTTTCTTATTAATAGCAGTAAGACAGTGTTTTTAGAAGAAGAAATGATGCATGAGTTTGGTTGCAAACCACAGGGTTGAAGATTTTCCTGGCGAGTCCCCCAGCCCATTAACACTGAGATCTTCCCCAAGTACCACTGTGTGCAGGGCACTTATCCACAGCTGGGCTCTTCTCCTGGTGGGCTTTGGGGTGTTTTTCCACCCTGTTAAAGTCAGTGAGAAGAAGCTGTTGGTAGCAATTACCCAATTATGTAGTTTTTTTTCTGTGTGGATTCCACTTACCAGGAGATCCCAGGGAAGATGGGGCTGTTGGTGCCCCTGTTAATGGTTAAACCTCCTCCTGCTGATGTGGCTGCAGAGCTGGGCAGTTGGGACCTTCTCCTGGCTTTGTGACTTTGGGTGCAGGATGCCATTTCTTCTGCATTTTGGGGCATTTCCCCTTTGTGTGCTTTGCCAAATAAATCACATCAACAAAGAGAAACGGGGCAGGAGGCAGCGGGAGCCGGATGGATGGGGACAGGAATTTGGAAGCAAAGCTGAAGAGAGCCCAGATAGGCTTGAGTTAAGGCAGGAGACTGTTTAAGGAGGAGCTTCTAGGCTTATTTTTCTGTTTTAAGACTTATTCTAACTTGCTTTATTTCTCTCTCTTCTCTTTGTTTTGGCTGTGGCCTCACCTCTGACACCGGCTGCTTCTAAAAGAGCGAGACTCAAGTGCAGTAAGTTCCATTACCTCCTTTTCTCTCCCAGTTCCTGGAGGCTGCCTGGTTTTGCTTTATCTATTATTTTAAAAAACAGACTTGAGGGGGTGAGCTCCAGGGACGCCTTTTGCACAGGTCCTATTTAATAAAAAAAAAAAGGAAGAACTAGCCCCAGCCTGGCTGGCAGGGCTGTTGGCTGTGCCGGGGTGAGCGGAGCTGCCTCCTCTGGGCCGGTGATGAGATTTGGTTTAAATCTTTTTTTGATTGCTGCAGATCTTCCAGATTCTGTTTCAATTGACTAAGCCCTGTGAATGAGCACAGTCAAGTCTGCGGGGCTAAAAAAAAAAAATCCTTTGGGTGATTAGGAAAGCTATTTTATTCCTGATCACTCTTCTATTATCTTGGGTCATCTAATCTGCCGGGATGGGTTTTGGCTATTACGCCGTGTTAAGTAGGACTTGGAAGGTCAAGCAGTTAACTAACCAGCTAAATCAGCGTGGTGGAGGGACAGTGTCACCTCCAGCCTGGCTGCTTCTTGTTTGTGTCTCCAACGTCTCGGTGCTGGTTCTGGTTTGGGTTGGGTTTAGTGTCTGAGCGTGGATGGAGAAGTCTATAAATAGAGGGTTGTTGTTGGTTTTTTTTTTGTGGGCAGAGGCCGGTAGGAGCCTGGTGGGGGGGCTGTCCTCCCCATGGGGTGGCTCAGCCCAAGCCCCCCAGTCCTGGGGTGCACAATGCTGCTGTCTGGGGGAAAAGCTGGCAGGACAAAGCCCGGCTGAGCTGCGGCTTTGCAGCGATTTCCTGCCATCCCCGAGCCCACAAAATGGGCCTTTTGAGAGCTGGGGGCGGATGGGAAGAAAAATGCCATTTAAAGGGGTGGGGGGAGAGGGGAATTGGGCATCATTAACCTGCTCCTTCGGCGGGGGGCGAGGGGGGGAACTGTCAGAGATGGGGAGGTTCCCTCTCTATAAAATAAAACGCGGGGTATTCCCTGCGGAGGTTTAACGCGCACGATAATCAAGAGTTAGTCATTCATATTTTCCTGGCCTTGCCTGTGCAATAAAAAATATTTAGTTCCTTGGCAGCGGGCCAGGGCGGGCTGAATGGATCGATGCCTCTAAATGCTTGACATGATTCTCTGGTAGCTGCGAGGTTTTTTCAGCATGACTGCCTGAGAAGAAAGACCCCGGTGTTATCCAAAGCTGCTTATTGGGTACCGAGGAGAAACATGAACTGCTTTAGTTCTCCCTTTCAGTCGGGAAAGAAAGGCAGCAGAGGAGCTCAGGGGACGTTCCTGCTTAGCAGGGGTGGCAGCTCTGCTACGAGGCACGAAATGACAGGCGTTTTCTTTTGCTGCTCTGGAAAAATTAATTGCAGGGCAGCAGGGGGGGATGCAGGGCTGGGCTCTCCTGAGGTGGTTTTCTGCTGCCATTTTTGCTCCTGACCCAGTCCCAGCCTGTGAGGGGCTTTCCTGGGAAGGCTCTTGGGCTTTGCTGCTCGGAAGGGATGCAGAAGCCACTCCCCAAGCTCTGCTGCTCCCCATCACATGGATTTTTCCAAAGGTTTTTGGATGCCCTTTGGCTCGGCAGGGCCCGGCTGCTGGCACGGCAGAGCTGGATTAAGTGGTTCCTTTGCTCCCTGATGAGCACCACCAGGGATGAGGCCCTGGCTCTGCAGATGCCAGAGGAAGCACCCGTGTGTGCCAACCCTTGTACAAACCCCTGCCCAGGGCTGGGATGAAGCTCCAGGGCTCCCTGTATGGGGTTAGAGGGTGATGGAGCCAGGACTGATGCTCCCCGTGGGGGTTAGATGATGGTGGAGATGAGGCTTTTGTGGCACCATCTAAGCTGCTGCTCGTCAAGTCCCATTTCCTTCCATTTCCAACTCCAAAGTTGTTTCTGTCCTTGCAGAATAACTCAGTTTCACCCTCGGAAAGCCTGCGGGCCAGCGAGAAGCACCGGAGCTCCACGGACTACAGCATTGACTCCAAGAAGCGGAAAGCAGAGGAGAAGGACAGCATGAGCAGATATGTGAGTGGCACGAGGCTCGGGCAGGGCTTTGGGTGGGGGAAACGCAGGGTTTGGGTAAAACTGCCCAAATGTAGCATGGGTGACCGGTGTCCTGCTGCTGGTGTTGGGGGGGGCGGGATTTGTCTGCCCCCTCCCACCTGGGATTTGGCAGCTCTCAGCAGGTTGAGACTCACTTTGTGTTTCAGGACAGCGATGGTGACAAGAGCGATGATCTGGTGGTCGATGTCTCCAACGAGGTGGGGCATGGGGGTGTTTCTGGCAGGTCCCCTCCTCTCCCCATGGTATGGTGGGGGCTGAGCTTTGGGGACCCCCTGGCCCCATTCCTGCCGGGAGGAGGAGCTGGAAGGAGCCCCCCCACACACTGTCAAGGGTACCAATGCTTCCTCCTGTCTTTCAGGACCCTGCCACCCCCCGGGTCAGCCCAGCCCACTCCCCCCCAGAGAACGGCATCGACAAAGCCCGCGGGATGAAGAAGGGGGACGCGCCCAACAGCCCGGCCTCGGGCGCCT